TTTTCGGTATACTGCACTCCTGGCTTTTGCCAGTGACTGGTCTTCGCTTACTTAGCACTCCAAACGCGTGCTGGGAATGACAAGTGGCCCGGGTTTAAGAAGTCAGACCCTCCCTTCTGTTCACATAAAAAAAAACTGACTCCTAGGACAATCTTCAATGAGAAAACCCTCCATTACTGGCATTCAATTTTACACGTGGTAATTCCTTTATTCCAGAAATCCGTAACCTCACTGATTTCAAGTGCCTCCTTCACGATGTGCAAAGGCGTCAATAATCCAAACTTTGTTACTGGCATTTAGTTCATTCTTTGAATCAAAAGACAGTGAGGTGCCCGATGATAAACAGATTATACGGGAGGCTAATGCTCTCCTACACTTATATGTGCAATAGGATGAAATGTCACGGAAGTCTCGCGAAAAGCCGGGCAATTATTGAAAGGGTGTGCTGCAGTACGGAGAATACAAAATATGCATGGAGATGCTAAACGTACAGGATATATGCACTTCAGCAGGTGCATAGTTCAGTGGTCTAATATGTCGCGTCTGGATGTGAAGACAAGTGGTTCGAATCCTCCTGGCCCACACACCTTTTGAGAAACGGACTCCATCCGCAACGACAGAAAATAACACAAATCTGTCTTTGTTTGACTTCATGAACAATTTTTTCAGCGATTCTGACGTAGTGACACTAAGCTGCGCCGACTGGGGAGACTGGTGGGAAACTATCACTATCTAGTGAGAGCAGAACTGCCTTTCCGATGATTCGCGTTGCCTTGCTTGCTCTAAGCTCTATCCATTGCCCACTTTGCAGGCAACAAGAATACCTCTTGGTATTTAGTACGACCCGCTTCATCTTCTTTCCTTTGAGTATTGGCCCAAAAAAGGCGCAGCGTACTTCAGTTCATTGTTTCGCTTTTCCAGATAATTAACCACGTGCGTTAGTCAGACTGCCAGTCGCCCATGAAGCCAGACAAAATTAGCTATCAAATTTTGTGATCCTTTGACAGTGCATGCACTGTGACATTCCGCTGTAAAGATGAAGTGCCCGACACTGGTTTTCTGAGAATGTTGTAACTTTTACATGATGGTGTAAAAATGCGTGACGCAATTGATCGGAAACAGTCGAACACGCCTCTTGTTTCAGGAAACCGGTTTATCAAAACCAACCATCCGCTTCCATATTCTTTTTTTCTCGCCACTACGATTCAGCAGATTGCTTCTCACGACCACTTTTTCAGTTACAGTACTCTTCCTCAGCCCCACTGATATGCCACGTTGGAATAACAGGCACACACGCACATTTGGAAACCCCAACGATGCTCCGCTCTCTCTCTCTCCGTTTTCTCTGTAAATCTCGCTCAGTACTTGAATTTCGAAAAATCTGATGCTTTGTTTTTTCCCGCAATTCTTCGCCGCCTTTGCTCACCCAGGATCAATTAAGTACGTCTGGTTCAATCTGGCGCTCGGAAAACTCAGCCCTCTCAATAAATTCTGCCTTCCGAGTCGGAGTAGACCTTTTGCCCCAGGAATTGTGAAGTGCTGA